TAAAGATTTGTCTATGAGAGAAAAAGGAGAAAAAATTAGCAAAAGAGAAAGAAATTAGCAAACTCTCACAATTCACGCTAAACTTTTTAGCAATTATTCAATTCTCAATAAATAGAGAAGTTTTTAAATTGCAAATAAAATATTTTGCAGAATTTTAAATGAATTTATATTTTAGTTTCTATTTATTTTTAAATAAATATAGAAAAGGCAGAAGGCTATATTTTCAAATTATCGTTGATTTTATTGTTCCCTTTCTCGATTTTGAGGACTGATAATATTACCAATAATTATTAGAAATTTTAATTCTAACTTCAAATTTTGAACAAATGTTTTTCAGAGCCAATGACACTAATTTGTAAGAAATATAGAAAAAATTAAAATGATCTGTCAGTGGTAGTAGGGTAATGCCTTGCATCGCAAGCTCTAGTTCACATTATATTCAATCATATACCATTTTATAAAATGGGTTTGACCCATAGTTTTTCATATTTTTAATTCTTTATTCATTCCATAGATGTCACGAGCTAACAAAAATTTGGCACGGATTTCCAATAGTGGTTTAGAAATTTTCTTTGACATCCTGATAATCCGTGACATTCCTATTGGGCCGCTTTAACAAATTAAAAACATTGTTCAGGATCACTAAAAGCCACGTAAAAAACTTAATTATAAAATTATTTCTAAAGTTTAATTAAATCAGAATAAAAATTAATGGATTTCTCAAAATTTATTTATTCTTCATTCATATTCATAATCCTAATATTACCTTCATTATATTATCTAAATTATAACAAACAAAATCAATTTTATATTTCTAAATCATCCATATCGGTATTAAATAATTTGAAGACTTCAATTTTGAAATTAAAAATTAAATAATTAAGATAAAGATCAAAAATCAGAAAATGCCCACAATTTTGATTTGGAATAAATGTTATAATGTGACAAAACAAATAATTGGTTACCCAGATTATCCAGTGATTGATTCCAACATTAAATGTCCATACGATTGCAACTTCACTTTCGATAAAAAATTGTAAGTCACTTGCAGAAAGAATAGCTCCCCGTCTCTCGTATCCCGACGATTTTTTGGCAAAAACTCTGACACATCCAACCCCGAAGGCTGAGCTACCCTAATTCAATTACATCTCCCATCCAATGAATTTTTCCACAGCATGAACATGACAAAGTATTACCTACTCTACTTTTTACCAAGGAAATCTCAGTCCTTAAAGCAATAAAAATTTAATTTAACATTTAATTAATAGTGGTACTCCTTGATCAAATTAACATGATCATTGGAGTTATTAACGTTTTAATACATTGTTTATTCATTTAGCGAGGCAAGTGCATCAACAATTATTTTCTTGCTCCATAAATTTTGCCCAATAAATTCATGGCCTCAAAATCGAAGAGAAAATCAGAATTATATGATGTATACAGTTGAATGTCCTACAGAAACATTGAGATATTATGACAGAAATTTATTAATAAACAAATTTTTTAACAGTTCAGCAACTTATCGTGTAGATAGTTTTGTATTTATGCCCTATGATACTTTAACTAAAATTACTCCGACAACCCCTAAGGAATATATTTGGAAGCAAAAAGAGGTTAATTTTAGAGATGGGACCGAGACTTATCTAAGACACTCTTGTGGGTTTTCAGTTTAGATCTTGACTCATGAAATGCAGTCTTAGTCTAGTCAAGTGAAACTTTACGACTTCGAACATTTTTCTATTTACGATAAATTATTTATTTTAAAGGTTTTGGAAAAGGTTATAAACAAAACAAAATTAGCCTTCCAAGCAATATCTCATTGTAACGCTAGTTCAAGTCGTGATTCTATCACTAAAAGATTACAAAAACTAATTGGATTAGATGTTGTTGGTAAGTGTTATGGTGGCAGGTGTAGTTCCGATTGTTATAAGCGTAACATGGGTCTATAAGCCAAAAAAAAATTATGGAGCTACAATACTCGAAAATTATATTCTTAATTACATTTCGAATAAATTCTATATTGAAAAAAATCTGCCAAACGAATTAAAAAAAAATAAGAATACAAAAAAATCAAAGAAAAAGATTTATAAATATTGAAATTAATTATTTAGAAGATATTAAATTATGTAAATTAACACATAAAATTGAGATTGAAGAAGAAGAGTTTATTAAAATGATTGAAGAAGATGATGATAAGGATTTTGAAATTAAATTGAAAGAAATTGAAAAAAACTAGTGTTCGGAAATTAAAAATTTCTAACTGTCTTTATAACTACAGTACTAAAGTTAAAAATTTTTACCTTGTTTTCTAGCGCAAAATTCAAAGTTTTCAAAATTTTGAAATTGGAAATCAAAAGAAAAAAAACAGGGAAATCTAATATCGAAATTTCGATATGGCGGCTAGGCATTTTTAATTTATTAGACACATGATTTAAATAATAGCATTGATTTAAATATTCTTTCTTGGTAAAAATATTCTTTCTTAAATGTTTTCTCTGGCTAGCTATTTTTAATTAATTAATTTTATTTTTAACTAAAATTATTAAATGTTATTATTTATAAATTCTTTATTTAAATGTATGTATTTTCATTAATAAAAATGGGGGGGGGGGGAAGGATTCTATTAGAGGAGAAGTTCTTTTAGAGGAAATACGTTAATTAATTAAGTCTTCGAATATACCGTATTTTCTCGATTAATTCCCCTCCCTCGAATAATTCCCCATGCTAGAGTTGGGTTGAAACAATAATTCCCCACCCCCAAATACCCTACTGCACGTTCAACTGCCAAAACTCGAAAATTCCCCTCCCTCGATTAATTCCTCATGCCAAGGAAGGGTTGAAAAAATAAATCCCCAGGGGAATTAATCGAGAAAATACGGTATGTTATTTTGAGTAATTTCTATTTCTGGAGAATATCTGACCATATTTTAGATATTAAATAATAATTTACTTCCTCTTCTGTATTTAAATATTTTACAATTAAATTTTTAAAAGAAAAACGTTCTTCGGGATTTTTATTTTTTTTTAATAATTATATTTTCTTGTTTTTAACCAATCGGATTTAAAAAACCTCAGCGCCGCAGGAAAAAATTTTTAAGTTTGAAGGCTACGAAGCCACATATTCTTCAAATTTTGGAAACCTAAAAGGCCAAACTAAATTATTTTTCTAGTTTTAATTTTACTAGTATTATAAAATAAATTTACAATTTCAAAATCAAAGTTAAAAACATTTTTTGGAAGGAAAAATTATTCAACTCACATTCCCCCATCCTGGATTCAAACCCATCCCCATAAAATCTCAAAGTGATTGAAGTCACTCAATCAAAATAAAATTTAGTTTACTGCTTGTTGTTTCTAGCAAGGAAACATAATAATACGTTTTGTAATAATGCGTTTAATTGTGTATTTATAAAATATAAAAAGTATTTTTGGGCGTATATATTCTTATGGGACGCCTATACTATTTTGGGACGCTTTTACTTTGATGGGATGCTTATTCTATTTTTGGGACGCATAAAAGCTCATGGGGCGCATGTCCTAAACTAGAGCCTTATTTTACCTATTTTATTTGAAAAACTATTACCATATTTAAATTATCATAATCCCTTAAAAACCCTTCTTTCAAAGATTTTCGATTCAGTTTCTATTATCCTAAAATTTTCCAAAAACGGCAACTCTATCTTCGAAAATTTTAATTGTAATTTATTAACATGCTTCCCAAATTTAATTTTCGGGAATTATGTATATAAAAGTATAACAAAATACAAAAATTTATAAATTATAATAAACTAGAGGAAAATCGAATGATAATGCAAAAAAATAAAATCGAAGGAAAGCAAATTAACATGGTGACATCTTCCCTCCCTTTATCGCTTACAGAGCCTTTTGCCATTCTCTAATTAACCTCCTTATTTTAAACTTTTTTACATTAAATTGCTAGATTAGCTAGAGTTTAATTATTAATTAAATTTTAATTAATTTGAGAATATAAGGTAGGAGATATATGTCAGAGGTGGGTCGGAATAGTCAGAGGTGTCGGAAATCGGAACTGGCTCAAAAGTCGGAACTCGGAAATCAAATTTTTTTTCCGGAAATCGGATAATATATAATATTTACAAAATTGTATTAAATAGATTCTGTTAAAATTAGGTTTTTTTATTTAAGATTTTTGAACTTTAAAGGATACTTCGTCTTCTGGTTCCTTCATGCTCCTTCATTATTTTCTTCTCCCAATTTTATTATTTTATTTTACTGTTTCTAATTCTCAAAGAAATGGAAAATTTCTTGTTATAACTGATATCCACATGGAGGATAAATATAACAAAAACGGAAATGTAGAAAAATGGTGTCATTTAGATGAAAATACTGGAAATCAACCAGCAAAAGATGCTGAGCTTGGAATTAAACAAAAATCGAAAACCAAAAAGAGGGTTCGATTGGGACCAAACACAAGTCAAACACCAAAAACGGCTGAGATTGGTACCTTTGGTGATCGAAAATGTGACTCTCCTCCGGTTTATATTTTATATTAAAAACGGACCGCGAATAAGATGGCCTTACATAATTATTCAACTACAAGCAAGGCGTTTCCCTTATCATGAAATTTTTGACCATTTTATCGGGAAATTCCTGCTACCTCGTTATTTTCAAATAACTCAGATCCCCGACACCTATCCCAAGAACGGATCCGCAAAAGATCGCAAGACCTTGCATTGCGTTATTTTTGACGAAATTAATCTGGCCTCATGGAAATCCGGTCCGAGGTCTGATCCGTGCAGGTCTAATCCGAGGCATTATTAGATTTTATGTAGATAAAATAGTAAATGTTATTAAAATTCCAGGCATTAGTTGATTATATGTTGGATGAAGCAAAGAGACATTTTCCAAAACCTGATTTTATTATATGGACTGGCGACACCGCGGCTCATAGAAAATATACACGAGAAGGTTTTTATGACTAAATTACGAAAAATATTCTTTTATTAGAATTTATTAATACAATGATAACTGTTACCCATGCTATAAAACAACGATTTCCTGATGTTTTGGTCATCCCTGTTTTGGGTAATTATGATATGGAAGGCGCTATTTCATTTCCTGATGATGCAGAACAATTAGGGATGTATCGAGATATTTATTATCTTTGGGAGGGATGGATTGGCGATGAACCTGGGGTATTAATTTAAACTTTACTAAAAAATGAATAAAAAGTTTGGCAATAATTAAATTTTATTCATTAATAACTAAAAATGTAATAATAGAAGAATACTCTCGGGACAATCATATTAAGAATATTATTTTCCCTTTGACAAAAAGATTTTTAATTTTTACTTAAAATCTCATTTCTAAGGAAACTTTTTTGCGTGGTGGATATTATTATTTTAAATCTCCATTGGACGGATCTGAATATTTAGTTTTAAACACAAATATTTATTACATAATGAACAGTGCAATTAAAGATTTTACAAATCCAGAAGACCCAACTGGCCAATTTAAATTTATTGAAAGACATTTGGCTGAAATTAAATCAAAAAATGGAAAAATAAATATTGTTGGACACGTTCCGCCTGGGGGTAGTATTTATGGTTACTGGTGCCATTCCCCCCTCTGATTTTTAGAACATAAAGTCCGGTAAAGGGTGTGTGTGAGCCTAATTCCTGTTGAACCTATTGCAATTGGAAGCAGTGGTATTACACTCAACGTTGGCATACTTTCTAATTGCTGAAGCTGTTGACTCACAAGAAGAGAGTGGAAAGGGAGAGTCACTTATTTGGGGAGGGGACGGAATTAATGCCGTATTCTAATCAGATTAAATATTTCTTGAAGGGTTTGTTTATAACACTGGCATGCCAGAATGTAGAGACGAAATGGAAACTCGATACAATAAACGGTTAATTGACTTGTTTACAGAATATGCAAATTCTATTGGTTTTATGTTATTTGGACATTTACATACTGATACTTTTAGAATTTTGAAGGTTTTTTATCTAAAATAATTATTATATTATAATTATTTTATATGCCGGATAGTCTAGAGCTCTGGGCTTCTTTTTGAAAATTCTCTTAATATTTTATCTTAGTATAATTAATTAAATTTTACAGCTAAAAGCTGATCTATTTATGTATAATCTGTATTTTTTGTCAGTTTTATAATTTTTCTGAGAAGATAATTTTTAACAAAAAAGTGATTCTATTTATTATTTTTGAATTTAAAAAACCTAAAAAAATTAATTTTTAAAAAGGATTCAAATGGGAAACCAATACAACGAATGTTTTTAAATCCAGCTATAACACCTTTGTTTAATTTAAACAATCCAGCTTTTCGTGTTTTTGACTATAACAGGAATAATTTTAATATTAAAGATATTAGGTAGGTTTTTCTGAAATTTTTTAAATTTAAAACTAAATTTAAAAAAAAAGAACTTTCTATGTTAATTTGGATGAATTAAACCAAAAAGGTTCTAATCAAGTAAAAACAGTTTTGGAATATTCAATGAAAAAAGTTTACGGGCTTAAAACTTTTGATGCAAATGAAATGAATAATTTGGCAAAACGATTTGCAACAGAAGATAGACTTTTTAATTTATATATTCGTTTTAATAGAGTTATGAATTGGAATGATAATTTATATATTGATAGGTTCTTAATTTTTTAAATTCATATCTAAATTGGTTACTTGGCATAGGTTCTAATTTGTGAAGCTGTAGACTAACATGAAGAGGGAGTGGAAAGGGAGCGAGCGTCTTATTGGGGGGAGGGGGCATTAATACCGTATTATAAGGAAAATTATTTTGACCGCGTCCGGACCTCCAAAATTCGTCTGGATTAATATAGAACCCCTGAATTAAAAAATTTTCTATTTTTAATATTTTAGAAAGATCTCTATTTCCTTTTACTTTTTTTTAGAAAAATGTATATTTGTGTTATTGAAAATGTTGATTTGGACGAATTAAAGAATTGTATTTCTAACAATGATGTAAAAAATTAACAAAAAAATTTTTTATATTTTTAATTTCTAGGGATCTTCTTCTTCAACAAAAGGATTTGATCAGCATTAACTAAACTTTCTGTGATTTTTACTGTCCTAGTCACTTGTATTTAAATTTTGGCCTTTTTAATGTTTTTGAACAAGAAATATGTAAATCTGTCAAATCACCAAGATTTGGATAATCTTTAGCCGATAAACAAACACTTTTCCAACATCTTTAAAAATATTTCGCCCGCTCAAAAGAACTTTTTTCCTCCCATTTTTTCATCTTTTTCCAATCGGTCCATCCCATTTTTTGACCCTTTCCTCATCCCCTCTTCAAAAATAAATTCAGTTCTGATTTTGTTCAAATTTTATTTTGTTATATTTTTTCAGTTTTTCGTCCTGTTTTTCAGTATTTTGGCTTACCCCCCTTTTTTATGCATATTTAATTTGTGAAAGAAAAATATTTTTTATTCTGTTAGTTTAAATATTTTTTAGAAATAAATTTATAGTCAAAGTTTATTGGTGAATTAATTAGAAAAATTAAAACTTTTCCCTCCTTGTTTATTCGAATCCAAGAAGGATTCGACAAATCTTTAAAAAATTTTTACTATTCATTTTTTACTATTTTTACTACTTTTGATTAAAAAATTCAAGAGTTACCCTTGCCCTTTTTCTTTTTTTAAGTTTTAATGGCGGGATTCGGAAAGTTCATTCTTCATTTTATTAAATAAATCAGACTTGGCCATGGATACGGATAATATCCGGATACCCGCGGATATATCCAAAGGCGGATATCCTTCCAAATCCGCTATATTTCGCTAATTTTTTCAATTTAAACAACACTAATTATAAATCTTAAAAATACAACCAAGAAAAATTTTCTAAAAGGAATATTCTTAATTTTTCCATCCCTAGTGTATGTAGATTTTATAACTCTATATGTAAGTTTGGAAAAATTAAAAAAATTCAAAAGAGTTACCCTTGTATTTTGGCTTATCCCAAAATTATAAACACGCTAGCTGATCACAACTGACCACTGCCTTTTTTATTTTAACTCATCACTCGCTCAATCAAAAACGCAGAATTTATGAAGTAATTAGTGAAAATATGCGGTTTTTGCCCTGAAAGTTTCCCGCCTATCTTCTCTAAAGTATAAAAGGCGCAGACTTTTAGTATTTCAGTCAAATTCTATAGTCGTAGTCAGTATTCTACTCAATCACAGTATCGCTTATTCTATTGTATTGTTACCTTTGTGGTAAAGTGCGTCTTGCTAGTCTATAGTCTATTCTGTTAGTACCGGACACATTGCAAGTCGATACAGAAAACAGTCGTTCAATATGTCATTTGAAAGGGCTCGTAAGCTGGATCGAATTGCACTAAAATTAAGCTTGGGACTCAACTATAGGCTGAGAGATACGCCTCCGAATATCGAAAAACTATAGGGACCCAGCTGATTTTTGGAGCTATCATTATTTTTGTCGAGTTCTTTTGAATGAGCTATAATTCACATTATCGAATTTTTCACCCCAAAAATCAGCTGTCATCAAATTAATTTTAGTGTATCTCGGTGAGATATTTCAATTGACATATCGTTTGACGTGTTGATTTCCGGTATTTATAACAGAATTTCTTCATGTTTTCTAATTTTAAATAGGTTTCATGTATATTTTATTTTTTAAATAATTAAAATTAAAAATGAATTCTCTACCAACCGAACTTCAATTTGATGTCTTGAAGTGTCTTAATTTCAATCAAATATTTTCTGTTAAACAAACAAATTTTTATTTTAATGGGTTTATTAATAAATATGAGGGGGGATTGGCGAGAATGAAATTTGATGAACTTCAATTAGTAAATATTTTTTATTTACTTTAATTTAAATTAATTTTAGTATGATATTGTCTCTCGTTATCCTAGACGTTTAGAACATAAAATAATTAAGCCTGAATCTGGAATTTTTGAAATTACTTTAAATGATCGACTTAAAAAGAAAGTAAAATTAATTTTTATTTACTTAAGTCTATATTTTTGTTTTTTTAAGTGGCAAGCAGCGATAACTGAATCATTGCCGTTATTTTTAAATAGTTTTAAATTTGGCACAAACATTCTTATGCGTCTTGAGAAAACAGGTACAGAATAATGTAAAAAATTCTTGTTCGGATATCCCTAGTTAAATATATGTGATCAACCCAGAATGTCAACTCCCTTTTGTATTCGAGGGATTTGAGTGGATTAAGGGACAAGACGGAAATTCTATACTGTCACTGTCAGATAAGGCAATAGGGACCATGCCAACGTAAAATTGATCTTGATTCACCTTTATAAGACAAAATATTTGGAGTTGACATCCAGGGTCAGTTGACCAATAGGGAGTTGAACTCCTGCTATAAACTTAAATATTACTTCTACTTTTATAAATAAAATCTTATTTTTTAATCATTTTTAGATTTATTTATCAAAAAAGGCTTCTATATTTTAAAATTACCAAACATTCCAAAAAGCATAAAACAAATGATTATTGTTCGGTGCTGGTTAGAACATTTATTTAATTGTGCTTTTGCGTGTTTCTATTTCGATAAAAGTGTATTTAATCCAAAAATGATCAATTTATTATTTGATAACGACAAAACAACTCTTCTTCAATTCAAAATTCACAAACTGTCTCTATCTGTTAACAATTATACAATTGAGAATATTTTTAAATTCTCCTTTAATCATTTGGCAATTTCTGAATGTCTTTGTATAGATTTTAAAGAGAATGGCATTCCAGAGCAATATATGGATATTTTATTAAATATTTTAACAAATGAATCCAATAACTTTACAAAAATTTGTTTGTTTGGACTTGAGTCGATTAAGCTTCATGATCTTTTTGTTGACGTGAGTTATCTATGTTTTTTTGAGATAGTTTAAAAAAGAAAACAGAATTACCGTATTTCCTCTATTAGAATGACACCCTCTAATAGAAGTGCCAAGGTACCGCCGAGCTATAACTTTCTTCAAAATTGTCGAATCCTGGAGCCCTGGTATGGTTCGATTCAGCTCGTTGAGAGGCCATACCGTCGAGAGGCCATACCACTCGTCGAGAGGCCATACTAACTAACCATACCAGGGCGTTAGTTAGTTATAGCTCGGCGGTACCTTGGCCTTGTGGTACCTTGGGGTGTACTCCTAATAGAATGCCACCTTTGAAGTTGATTGAAAAATAGAATGCCATGGCATTCAATAGAGGAGATACGGTAATAAATATAAAATTTAGTATATAACAACATCAACGGAAATAGACTATTCAAAAATTATATCTTTTATTGACTTGCATTATGTTTCACTCAAAAATTTTAAATTGAATGGGAAAGCTGAAAAAGTTAAAATTGGTCAATCAAAGGATGTAAAATATACAAAATACCAAATTTCCAATATTCACAATCCAAAAATAAGATTTTATTTTTGTAATGATACAGATGAATATGGATCAACTTTTCTTATTAAAATCAGAAAAATGAAAGGGAAATTTTAGAGGAAGAAAATGAAAATTTTGACTTTTTATTGAAAAACGAAATAAAAAATTTTTGTAGAAATTTTTGAACTTGTCGACTAAATTTTCTTTTTGTTTGTAGGGTATTTGTCTATAAATTCTCTCTCACACTACCCTTTCTTCTCTATTAATCACAATTACCTATATGTATTATTTTTTTTATTAAATAAATATTTTTGTTTGTGTTTAATTGTGTTGGTGGATTTGTTTTCTGGAGATCATATATCTCCGTCGCTCATTTCAAATAAGGAATATACTCTTGTGCGAGCCCGAGTTATTCCTGTCCCTCCTCTATTGAACTAACGAGAAATTGCGCACCTACTTTTTTCCGCGCACATTTTATTCGAAAAATTTATTAGATATTTTAATATGATTTTAAATCATTTTAATTTAGTTTGTTAAAATTTTAGATAGCAAAATATTTTTAAAAAGCAAATTTTTATTATTTTTAGAAATAAACTTTAGAAATTTGCTTCTTTTTGGGTATACTCTGAAAATTCTGAAATACAAAAATTTTTGGCTCTACTCCAGTTTATGCGTCCAATCGAGTTTTATGCGTCCAATGAAAGTTTATGCGTCCAATCAAACTTTATGAGTCCAATCAAAAAATAAATGGATTTTTTTAGTATTGCAAAGATGGGGTATGGGTCTAAAGCATTTCTTCATGTTCGGAACCTACACCCACTGGGTCTGGGACCGTTCCTTACCCTATACCTCGAAATTTCAGAGAGTTATAGCCAATTTTTAAAAATTCCGGAAAAACGATTATAATTTTCCGAAATTTCGAGATATATGGTAAGGAACGGTCCCAGACCCAGTGGGCGTTGGTCCCGAACATGAAGAAATGCTTTGGACCCATACCCCAACCTGGCAATACCAAGAAAAATCCAATTATTTTTTGATTGGACTCATAAAATTCGATTGGACGCATAAACTGGAGTAGAGCAAAATTTTTCTTAAAAATAATATTTTATTTCAAAAACAAATGGATTCAACAGATATACATATATTTAAAAGTTACTATTATTTACAAACATTGTATCGAAATAACAACAGGAAATTAAACAATATCGAACTTATCTATTACATAAATATATAATACCAAAATTTTCGAAATGAAATGCTTTCTTAGAGCCAATATGGAAACATAAATACATATAGTCTAGATCATCTATTTCTGGATCATCTACACGAAACATTTCGTATTCCACAACCTTACAAAATACCTTCCCTTCCTCCTCCTCTCCAGGAAAATAACGTTCTTCTTCAATTACCATTTCGCCAAACATTTTCCGTTTAGAATCGTCATAGTGAAAGCCTTTGCGTCCATGAATAACGACGTGATGGTACATAAATTCAAGTCCTCCAGGAACCGAGTAGTCTAGGCCTTCTTTATGATATAGATAAAAATATTTTGTTTGGAATTTCAACGGAGGATCACCAAAAAATAATTCGAGAATGTCCGGATTGATAAAGCCTTGCTCAAATTTGAAGTTTTCAGTAAAACAATAGGAAAGCTTCTTCAGCCAGTAACGAAAAACAACCATTTCTTCGATCGTTTCAGGATATTGTTTTAATTGAAATCGAAGAAATTTGGACGACGTTCCCACTAAAAATTAAAAAAGGTAAAAATCTAAGCTTCACAAAAAGCTTCTTTCTAAAATCAACTTCTAACAAACAAAATTATTCACCCGTTCCTTTTGCTACAAAAAACAAATTTGCAATTTCATTAAGCTTATAATCATCAATTGCCACATCAAAATTTTTGCGAGGAGAGTTGTTGTTGTTGTAATAAAAGTAAAAAGGAATTCGTTGTTGAATCGCTGCTTTCCACTGAAAAATAAGAGTTTATGGCCAAAGGAACCAAAGCAAAGGGATTACCTTTAATTTGAGTTCCTCACTTAAATTCATGTCCAATTCTTTAAGACTATACTCCAAATCCTTGCAAACATCTGTAAAACAAAATCTTTTAACAAGTACTGGTCAAAAAAACCCACAATTTTTCCAAACAACCAATTCAACCGAATAGAACACTTTCACGGCCAATTCTTTATTGTAATTGTTGATCAATTCACAAAAATGACGATTTGACAGTTGAAAGTTGTTCAATTGGTTGAAGTTGAAGCATTTGAGGATGTCAAGGTTGGTTTCAGCGGGTAAAAGATTCATTGTTGTTTTTAATGAGATTATGTTTAATTAAAAACTTTATCCTTTTATACTGTTTTTATATGTTAATTTATGCGAGTTCTTTCAATTAAACAATAGTTTTACCCACCAAACAACAAGTTTTTTCTGTTCCTTTTTAAGTTAGAGAACAAAATGATACGCTGTTTCTTGCCCTCTTATGTGTCGAAATAAAAATTTAATAATCTTCCCCAGTGAATTATGTTATCAAGCCTTCCCCGTTGTTGATCACCCTGGGAACAACCTCTTGCCGTATTGGGACAGCATGCCCGATTGTTGGAACAACATTCTCACAAAAAGGAATAACATCTCCCATGTTGGTCTTCCGTTGTTGGAAGATTTGTTGACGGTAGGTTGGGCCTTCGTAATTACTTCTAATCGCCCACCAAAAAAGCAAAATTCCAGAAAATCGGGAATTCCCGACGACTTTTGAAGGTGAATTCACGATCACGAAAATCGGGAATTTGGTTTTCTGCCGGTGCAATCCCTAATATGAATTATACCTTTTTAAATTTATTTTAGCGTGACATCAACACAATCTTTCAGGATTTAAATCTCTATAAAATAATTAAAATGAATCAATTATTCACCGCTATTCCCAACTAAATTTCTTTGTGGATTTTAGAGTTGGCAAGTTTAATTCATTAAAACATTCTTCAATTATTCTGCAATAATTTGCATTTTGCAGTTATTTTTAGCTTTATTAAGTTGGATATAACCATTTAGGTATGGATTAAAGATTTGTCTATGCGAGAAAGAAGGAAAAAAATTAGCAAAAGAGAAAGGAATTAGCAAACTCACTCAATTCATGCTAAATTTTTTTAGCGATTATTCAATTCTCATTAAATAGAGAAGTTTTTAGATTGCAAACAAAATATTTTGCAGAATTATTAATGAATTTATATTTTAGTTTTTATTTTTAAATAAATATAGAGAAGGCATAAGGCTATATTTTCAAATTATCGTTGAATTTATTGTTCCCGTTCTCGATTTTGGGGACTGATAATAGTACCAAAAATTATCAGAAATTTTAATTCTAAATTCAAATTTTAACTTTAATTTAATTCTAACTTCAATTCAACTTCACTTAATTGTATTTCAGGGCCAATGACACTAAGAAATATAGGAAAAATTAAAATGATCTGCCAGTGGTGGTGCTGCTACCCTTGCATCGCAAGCTCTAAAGTTTACATCACATTTAATTTTATACCATTTTATAAAATAGGTTTGGCCCATAGATTATTCATATTTACAATTCTTTATTCATACTATAATTGTCATAAGCTAAAAAAATTTGTTACGGATTTCAAATAGTGGTTTAAAAATTTTCTTTGACATCCATGGTTCGGCCGGTTTTCTGATAATCCGTGACATTCCTATTGAGCCGTTTTAATAAATTAAAAACATTGTTCGAAATCACTAAAGTTTAATTAAATCAGAATAAAAATTAATGGATTTCTCAAAATTTATTTATTCTTTATTTTTATTCATAATCCTAATATTAGCTTCATTATATTATCTAAATTATAACAAACAAAATCAATTTTACATTTCTAAATCATCCATATCGGTATTAAATAATTTGAAGACTTCAATTTTGAAATTAAAAATTAATTAAGATAAAGATCAAAAATCATAAAATGCCCACAATTTTGATTTGGAATAAATGTTATAATGTGACAAAACAAATAATTGGTTACCCAGATTATCCAGTGATTGATTCTAACATTAAATGTCCATACGATTGCAACTTCACTTTCGATAAAAAATTGTAAGTCTGTTGTGTCTGCATTTGCAGAAAAAGTATGAAATTAAATAAATAACCCATAATCTGGTTGGATGGTGGCACAGTCGGTTGTGCTTCGGTCTGGACTAATTCCGTGATGGTTCAATTTAGGTTGGCTCCCCGTATCCCGTCCCGACGAACCACGAACCCCGACACATCCAATTCTGAATGCGCTACCCTAGTTCAATTCCATCTCTCATCCAATAGATTTTTCCACTGCATGAACATTACAAAGTATTACCTACTCAATTCTTAACTAAGAAATCTCCGTCCTGAAAGCAATAAAAATTTAATTAAACAGTTAATTAATATTGGTATCATTGATCAAATTAACACGATTATTTCAGTTAAAAACATTTTAATACATTGTTTATTCATTTAGCGAGACAAGTGCATCAACAATTATTTTCTTGCTCCATAAATTTTGCCCAATAAATTCATGGCCACAAAATCGAAAAGAAAATCAGAATTATATGATGTATACAGTTGAATGTCCTGCAGAAACATTGAGATATTATGACAGAAATTTATTAACAAACGAATTTTTTAACAGTTCAGCAACTTATCGTGTAGATAGTTCTGTATTTATGCCTTATGATGCTTTAACTAAAATTACTTCAACAACCCGTAAAGAAAGTATTTGGAAGCAAAAAGAGGTTAATTTTAGAGATGGGACTGAGACTTATCTAAGACATAATTGTGGTTTTTCAGTTTAGATCTTGACTCATGAAATGCAGTCTTAGTCTAGTCATGTGAAATTTTACGTTCTCGCTTCCTTTTTACGATAAATTATTTATTTTAAAGGTTTTGGCAAAAGTTATGAACAAAACAAAATTAGCCTTCCAAGCAATATCTCATTGTAACGCTAGTTCAAGTCGTGATCCTATCTCTAAAACATTACAAAAACTAATCGGATTAGATGTTGTTGGTGAGTGTTATGGTGGCAGGTGTAGTTCTGATTGCTATAAGCGTAACATGGGTGAATACGAAATTTATTAAATGCAGTCTTAAATATTTATTTTCAGAAAATCACATGTTTTATTTGGCATTAGAGAATAATATTTGTCACAATTATGTAACAGAAAAATTTTGGAATTCGTTAAGATCACTTACTGTACCTGTAGTATTTAGTAGATCAGTTTTGAAAGGAATGGATGTTCCTTCCAATGCATTTATTGCTTTGGATGATTTTAAGTCAGTAAATGAATTTGCTGCGTATTTAAAGGCTTTGCAAAATGATACGGAAAGATATTTACAGTAAATTTTTAAAATTAAGTTTCAGACCATCTGGTCTAGGAACCTGCGGAACGCTGGTCAAGTTTGGGAATTGAGTATGAAGATAGTGGAGGTGGAGTGTTGCCTGATCGTCACAATCTTCGATAAGAAACCGAAAGATTTTTCGGGTCATTTCGGATAACCAGAATCTGAAGCAGTGAAAAATCATCGGATTTATGGTTATGATATAATGCAAGGGTTATTTGAACATTAGAAGAGCTTTTTAGAAAACAAAACTATTCTTAAGAGAGGATTATTTCATAAACCTCTGATATATTTTAGGTATTTTGAATGGACAAAAACATATACAAATCGGAAATTTGGTTTTGATTATTCACCAATATGCAAAATATGTGAATATGCTACAAAACAATCTGAAGGAGATAGAAAAAATATATTAAATTTGGATAAATTTTGGAATGTAAATGATTGTAATAAATTTGATGTTGAGAAATTTTTGAAAAATAAATAATAATAATTGAGAAATGAGTCCAGTCTTAATCCAAGTCAAATGCCAAGATTTCAAATGCCAAATTTATTTCAGAAAATTAATAATCCTCTGCCCTTAATTTCTCAGAAATTCAAAAGATAGGTAAAAACCTAAAAAAATTAATGGCAGCATAATACATATGTTTTTAATTGCCATTTTAAATTGTCATTTTTAATATAATTTCAAAATAAAAGCTTTAAATTATAATAAAGTTGTGAGTATAAGTGCAAAATACAGAGATGTACATATTAGTATATAATAATACAAATTAATGACTGGGTAAGGCAAAAAAACTAAAAACATAAAAAGAAGGCGCACTTGTTTTTAATAAGGTGCATATGTGATTTTAATATTTAATGGGCAATTTTAAGCATTTAACAATTTTTAATTATTATTTTAATTTTTTAAACAACAATAATTAATTTAAATAAATATGAATATTTTTTATATATTTTTTCTTTTATTTATAATTTATTTGAAAAATTATAACAAATTGGTAAATGGTGAAACAATCGAATTAGAAATTAATTCCGATTGGTTAAAAACAAGAAAATATAATTATTTAAAAAATAAAAATCCCGAAGAACGTTTTTCTTTTAAAAATTTAATTGCGAAATATTTAAATACAAAAGAGGATGTAAATTATTATTTAATATCTAGAGACATGTCTAGATATTCACCAGAAATAGAAATTATTAAAAATAACATTGTCGATGAATTAATTAATTATTTACCATAACAGGTATTAAATCAGGGTTCTCATATTAGATGTACGGATTTTGCCTAATTTTGTGGTTATTTGATGGGCCGATGAGGGGGGGGGGGGAATTTTCAAAAAATCTCTCAAATTCCCCGACTTTCAGGGACGGGGACGGGGAACAACCATATACGAGACCAACCACTTTACTCTAGGTAAAACCAAAATAAGCTCTAATACAACTTGTTATATAAAAATTAATTAATTAAAAGAAAAAATTAAGAGTTAAATAAACTTTAAAATTATAAATTAAGATGGTTATACGAAGATTACCAACTTATAAAACCAAAATCTGTCAAATATCTATTTTAAAAAACTACTATACGAAAAAAGATTTAAAAACAAAATCAGTAAAAGAAAAAATAAAATATTACAAAGAAAAATTACAAAATAATTATTGGGATTTAATTAATTTAATTGCATATAAAATTGAAATATTGGGAAAATATATTAAAATATTGGATAATGAAGATGAAAAAATAAAAATTAAAAAACAAATTGATAATTTAAAGGAAATGATTAAAATTGAAGGTTAATTCTATTATAAAAAAATAAATATGTACATATACATATATAGGCGTAAAAAGGGGGCTCATTCTACATATTAGAGGGGGCTATTAAAGAGGGGGGGCATTCAGCTCGAGGTGGCCATTCTATTAGAGAATTTACGGTAAATAATCCAATTTATTTTAAATAAAATTTAAAAATTAACAGGAGGAAAGTTAATTGAATTGAGCAAATATGTTTGTTTTTTGATATTTATTTGAAAATTGAAAGAAAAATTTTAGGGAATAATATTAGGAAAATTTGGGCAAGGTTTGCCATTTATTAAAGACGATATTTCTGAATTATCGCAAGAATTTGATTGTAAAGAAAAGCAAATTTATGTATGCATATTTTTATTTTAAAAATTAATTTAATTCGAAAAATTTTCAGAAAATGATCTATGTAAGTGCTATTTAATATTGTTTTATCATTTTTATAAATTAATATTTAAAATAGTAAAAAGGTACGCGTAAAATAAGTTGCGCTCGGCGATACTCCGAGATTATTGCTATTTTAAATACTTTAATTCATAAGTATAATTTGGTATGAGGTTTCGGTTCAAAAAATTCCTTTAAAATCCGAAACTAAATCGAATAAGCGAACAAACAATTTTAAGTACAAATGGCCTCAATTTTACGTACACCCAATAATAGGTGGAACATACATTTAAAGTACTTTTCTAATTTGGTTGACCAATGGATTTGGGAGCTGCCTAATCTAAACCCTCAATTACGGATCACCTCAATTTCACATATTTCTTTCTGCTCTATGTGTGTATGAAACTCGATTGTATAAGTATGAACTCAAATTACTGCTTTTTATTAATCTCAACATAGTAATACCTAAATTTAGCGAACACTTGATATAACAAACTTTCCCTTAGCTTCCTTCAAGTTCGTTATATTGAGAGTTGATTGCAATTAATATTTAATTTTAAATAAAAGAACAAGAGAGACGAATACAAAATAAATGGCATAGGGCTCAGAATTATCAAAACGGAGTTTTATAAAATAAATAGAGAAACCCCATCGAAAGATTCAGGTTATTTTTATTGTTTTTCCAGAAGTACATATAACGATCTTGTTATTAGGTTCGGACATAATTTGTGGCTATTTTTTAGATTAAAATTACCAATCGTATAATTTACATCACGGCTATATTACCATATATTTTATGTGATCTACGTTGATTTTGGGAACACTAGATACGACTGTAATAATTATTTTCAGATAAAATGTTTGATGTTTATTTGAATGAAAAGTCATTACCTCTGACTGGAGTAAAACTAAAAAGAATTGCAAAATACTATAAATTAAATAAAAATACTGAAAGTAAAATACTCGAACAGTATTTTCTTAATTACGATTCAAATAAATTCTATATTGAAAAGAATATGCCCAACAAATTTAGAAAAATAATAAAGATGAAAAATCCAAGATTTATAGCAATTGAAATTAATTATAATTATTTAGAAGATATTAAATTATGTAAATTAACACATAAAATTGATATTGAAGAAGAAAAGTTTATTAAAATGATTGAAGAAGATGATGATAAAGATTTTGAAATTAAATTGAGTGAAATTGAAAAAACTAATGATAGCTAATTAAAAAATTATATACCGTATTTACTCGATTAATTCCCCACCCCCTATTAAATCCCCATGACAGGGATGAGTTGAAAAAATAATTCCCCACCCCCAAATACCCTACTACACGTTCAAATTTCAAAACTCGAATAATTCCCCACCCTCTATTAATTCCCCATGCCACGGATGGGTTAAAAAAATAATTCCTCGGGGGAATTAATCGAGTAAATACGGTAATTAGTTAAATCCTATTGTAATGTATAATTTTAAGTATTCAATTCTGATAGGATATTAACCGGAGCAAAACTTTCAGTTAAACGAACCCGAAACCGAAAACCCTAACCGAACTACCCAAATCCTCAGCTATGCTGGATACCCCAGCAATTTCATGATATCCCCTTTGATCCCCAAATTTCTTCGAATTATCCCTAATCCCACCAGATCCCTAGAAATTTTTTAAAATTATCTTTCGTTTCTCCCTTCTTTTATTGTAAACTTCCAATTCCCCCAACAAGGTTCATTCGTAATTAGTTGTCTATCAGGGATGGGACGGGTTGAGAAAAAAGTCGGGTCGGGTTTCGGGTCGGGTTTTCAAAATTTTCTTCGGATCGGGTTTCGGGTCGAAAAAAAGTCCGGGTTTCGGGTAACCCGTCCCATCCCTGTTGTCTATATTATTTAAAAGAAAAGTAAAAGTATTTTATTTTGTTTTTTCTACTGATATTCGAATTCTTTTAAATCTTGTTATAATTTAAATAGTATTATAAATTCAAAGCATATCCTAATTATATCTTTATTTGGGAGACATAATTCTAAAAATAAATAGAATCTTTATAATAAAAGTTAAAAGTATTTTTAAAAATTGTATGCATTTACTAATTTACAAAATAAAAAAATATAATTTTTACTTTCCACCAACTTTAACTCAGAAATAAAAATTAAAAATCTATAAAATATTAAAGAATATCAATGAGAAAAAAGGATATCATACAAAAGGTGTATATCATACATAAATAATATACATATAATATGCAAAAGCAATAAATTGAGATATAAATATAGCTTAAAAGATTATCACAAAAACATCACAGGGCAAAGAAAAAACATGGCTAGAAAGGAGTTTAGAAAATAAAACTTGAAATTTTTTTGTTATATTTATTTCGAGACAATCAAATGCCCTTGTGGAGTAATTCGAATAGCCGAAGTTAGGAGGAAAGCTTAAAAAGAAAAAATTAAATTTTGTTGGAAACAAAAAAGTTTTTCTTACCGATAAATGGAAAACAAGCTGTGAGAATGAAAGCCCAATTATATCCAATTGAATGCAAAAAGTATTCACTTCCAATAGCCAGTACGATGCCACTGAGAGTCTAAGGGTTGAAATTTTGTAAATTAAAATTTAAAAAAATTAAATTTACCGTTGAAAGAATTAAAAACCCATAATTAATAATTTTATGTTGTGAACCAAAACAACGAACGATTGCTGTGATAAAAAGGGCATGGGTTGCTGCCAAACAAACAAACATTAAAATTAACTAAAAATGAAAATACAATTTATTTGATAATTTTGTTATAAGTACATAGGGTTGTCAGTTATTCGAAAATTTTCAGATATCCGGATCCAAACCGTCTCAAACACCTCCTTCAAGATAAGTTTTTTAAGTTATGGTTGGTCATTGGGGTGGGAAGAGGGGGCTGATGCTTAAGTGATATCCTCAATACAAAATTACCCCCCACCCCAAAAAATACAATTGCAACTCCAAGTGTGATTCTTATAGTTAGGGTTAGACTTATGATTTAGTATTAGCTCATAAAATCCTACACGGGTATACACATCTTAAATCAGATGATCTTTTTAAAGTATCAAATAGAAAAAACTGTTATTTGTTATCTAAAAATCAAACATCAAAATCTTCCAATTCATTTGTTAATAGGGTAACCAAGATGTGGAATGTTTTAAATGATGAACTCAGAACTACAAAAATAACACTTAGTTTTAAAAATAAAATAAAAGCAATACTCATTCAGTAAATCTACAATTTTGAAAAAATATTCTGAATTCTAATTTCACTTACCTATTTGGAAAAAATATTCTAAATTCCAGTTTCACTTTCCTATTAACAAATTAAATCCAAAAAATCTTAGATCTAGAAAATTTTCCAATTTCATCACAAATAGCATCATTCAGAATTGACAGCTATTTCAAGCTCAAAGCCTCTAAATTCTTACAATGTTTAAAAAATCGTAGTAAAATTTCAAAATTTTTCATGTTACATGTCCAAGATTCAAATGTTTATTTTGAATGTTAATTTCTTAGGAAGAAATAAAATGTTATCAACTTTATAAGAAATAAATAAAAAATATTTACTTTATATAAAAAATCCTCTGTTAAACGTAATTTTTCCATTTTTTTTTTATGATCAAGTAAAGAATGTAAAGATAATTTATCAAATAGTCTTTTACTTAAATTCATAAATTTCCAAAAATTAAGGGTTTTTTACTAATTGAATATGAACTAAACATATTCTCAGAATTCTAACCAAATCATGCTTACTTAAATGCTTAGAAATTGTAAAAGCAAAAAGTTAGGCAATTTGTTAAAATAATCATAAAAACATTTTTAATGTTTTTAAATAATCACCTATTTTCTAGTATATAGATTTTATTTTTTCTATATAGTAGCTATATATTGTTATTTTTCTTTCCTTTTTAAGTAAACATTTAAATTATAATTTTGAATTATGTTTGGCATTCTGTTCAAAAAAATTAATTTAAATGACAATTTATACAAGCATCTCTTACTCTTTCGCATTCCCACTATTTCTTCTTTTTGATGACTCATAAAATTAAATTTAAAAAAAATTTTTTTTGTTTTCTTCTCTCCTAATTTTTATTAAAATTTATCTTTTTTTTTGTTTAAAAAGCATTTTATTTTTTTTCTTTTAAGGAAATTTTAAAAAGATATTTAATTGGGTAATATTTTTTTTTGTTGACTAAACAATGTCTAAGCGCAATTCTTCTGAATTCTCTCCATTAAATTTTGCAGCAAATATGACAAACAACGAAAAACGCAGCAAAATTGTTGAACAAATCAATTCTTTAAATTTTGACAAAATTTCGACTGAAATGGAACAAGACAAGACAACACCTAATTGGGCGAAATTAATTATTGGACAAATGGGCTCTCTTCTGAAAATTGCAGCAGACCTTCTAAATGAACAACAAAATTCTTATGGAAATTTTGAACTTCATTTACAAAAACAACAACAGCAATTTGAGGAAAACGAGCGTCTTCACAGCATAGTAATTACTGGAATGGAAGAAAGTAATAAATCAGATGCTCTGGAGCGTGTGAAGGAAGATCAAAACAAGGTTTTAGAAATTATTAATATGTGCAAAGTTGACATTGGTTTGCCAACTGCTATTTTTCGTATGGGTGTTAAAAAATTAATTCTTGTCGTCCAATTAAAGTAAAAATGCCAAGTAAGGCAGCGGTTAGGGAAATTTTAAGGGGCAAAAAATATATTATTAATAATAAAATAAATACAAACACACATTTCAATATACGGGTTAGGGAGTCTTTAACCGCTGCTGAGCTTAAATCTCGCTCAGACCTCGTTAAACAATGTTTTAAAATGCGTAGTGAGCACCCCGGTGCTGACTATGTCATTTATGCCTCTAATATAATTTTGAGAAGTGAGATAGACAATTTCAAAAAAACTCTTCCAAAAAACTAAGAAGTCATCTCACTTCTCCTATAAATAAATATACTCTAGAACCGACTATTTCCCATGAAAAAAATTCCAATTTATTTTTAAACAAAAAAATAAAAGGATGCCTTATAAACGTTAGATCTTTAAAAAATAAAATTGACGATATTTCCTGTATTTTAAGTGCATGTAACATAGATATCCTCTTTGTAACTGAAACTTGGCTTACAACAGAAACCCAAAATATTTTTAACTTAGATATACTTGAAAATTTTAATATAGTTCTATGCAATCGAGTTAATCGTAGGGGAGGCGGCTGCGCTATTTTGATCCGAAAGCATATTAAGTTTTTCGTTAAACAGTCTATCTCTAAATTTAACTCAGAAATAATTCATCTACAAATACAAAATTCTAAATGCATTAATTTCATTCTTATCTATAGACCTCCAAATACTAGTATCATTCAAACTAAAAAACTTTTTAAACTGATTGAATCTTTTATTTCTTTTAATTGCATCATATTGGGAGACCTTAATTTTGGCACCAAGGATTTGAATTGGATCAATAATATTCCATATTGTAAAAACAGTTTAGGTGATCTATTTCTCAATTTTTTCAATTCTGCTAATCTATCTTCAACTACACCTGGTCCCACTAGAAATGATGCATATTTGGATATTTGTTTAACAAATAAACCTAATTTATTTCAAAATATTTATGTTGATGGGTCCTTGTTTAATTCTGATCATGATGCTTTAATCTTTGATTTATTATTCCCTATAAGCAAAAAAGAAGTCAAACCCATAAAATATAGAAAATATAATAAAGATAATACATTTCTATTAAATAGATTTCTATCTTCTGTTATACCCGTTATATCCACACAAAATTATTATTTGGAAGATAAATATAATCACCTCGTAAATAATATCTTAACTTCTCTTGATTTATATGTACCAGAAAAACTTATAACTAAAAAAGATCTTAAACATGATTACCCTGCTCACTTAAAAGCATCTATTAAAAAGAAAGCTGAAATTTATAGGCTACTTAAAACTGATAAAATTAAATATAAAGAATTATATGATAGCATATCATTGCATATAAAAATTCAGTCTAGAAATTTTCATAATAAAAAACAAAATGCTTATATTACTAAAAATATAAATTCTATTCATAAATATCTTAAAAGATTTAAATTTACAAATAATGAAATCCCTGTGCTTTACCATAATAATAGATATATAACAAAATCAATAGATAAGTCTGAAATTTTTGCTGATATCTTTCTTGAAAATTTTTCTAATACAAATATGCAATATAACCACAATATCAATAACAGCAATCAAATATCTATTATCGAAGATATTGATTTTGACATAATTGATATTATCAATTTCATTAAAAAATTACCAAATAAAAATGGGACTTCACCTGATAATATAAATTATAAAATATTAAAAATTGCACTTCCGTCTATAGCTCCTGTTCTGTCTGAAATATTCAGAATATCACTAGATTCAGGTATATTACCAAAAATATGGAAAGAATCTATAATTATGCCACTATTCAAAAAAGGAGAAAAATCTAATCCTGAAAATTATAGACCCATTGCATTAACATGTGCCTTATGCAGAGTCATGGAAATGGTTCTTAATAAATACATCGTTCAATTTCTTCATGACAATAATTTATTTAGTGATAATCAATTTGGATTTATAAAAAATAGATCCACTACAACACAATTAATTACTACATTAGAAGATTGGTATGATGCAATAATGGGAAAAAAGAATATTGACTGCGTATACATTGACTTCAAAAAAGCATTTGACTCAGTACCACATGATCTTTTACTCAATAAATTATATAAAATAGGTATTAGAGGAAAGATTTTAACTTGGATTTCATGTTTTCTTTCAAATAGAACTTTTAGAGTCAAAATAAACAACACGTTATCCAAACCTAGAAATATTAAATCAGGTGTACCACAAGGATCCGTTTTAGGCCCATTATTATTTCTGATTTACATTAATGATTTACCTGATATAATCCCAAATGGTATAAAAATTAAACTTTTTGCTGATGACGTCAAAGTATATGTTATACATAAAACTAAAAATGAAAGAAGAATGCTAACTGATGCTATCAAAAATATTGAACAATGGGCAACTGAATGGAAATTAAATATTGCTATTAATAAAACATATATCATTTATCTTGGTAAAACTAACCCTAAAGATCAATATAAAATTTTTAATACAACTATAAATGAAGTAGATTCTATACGTGATCTAGGCATCATAATAGATAATAAACTCAAATTTCAAGAACATGTACAAAAAATTATTCGGGCAGCTTATATAAAAATGAATTTTGTGTTTAAAATAATTAAATCAAAATCTATAAAAACATGGCTTACTATCTATAAAAGTTATATAAGACCCTTGCTTGAATACTCTCCTGAAACATGGAATCCACAGCTAAAATCTGATATTATCAAACTCGAAAAATGCCAAAAATTCTTTACAAAAATCTTACTTCGAAAATGTTCACTACCCTATATACCATATTTACAAAGATTGGAATTTCTTAATCTTCCTACTCTTGAAAATCGTCGTAAGACTTATGATTTAGTATTAGCTCATAAAATCCTACACGGGTATACACATCTTAAATCAGATGATCTTTTTAAAGTATCAAATAGAAAAAACTGTTATTTGTTATCTAAAAATCAAACATCAAAATCTTCCAATTCATTTGTTAATAGGGTAACCAAGATGTGGAATGTTTTAAATGATGAACTCAGAACTACAAAAATAACACTTAGTTTTAAAAATAAAATAAAAGCAATACTCATTCAGTAAATCTACAATTTTGAAAAAATATTCTGAATTCTAATTTCACTTACCTATTTGGAAAAAATATTCTAAATTCCAGTTTCACTTTCCTATTAACAAATTAAATCCAAAAAATCTTAGATCTAGAAAATTTTCCAATTTCATCACAAATAGCATCATTCAGAATTGACAGCTATTTCAAGCTCAAAGCCTCTAAATTCTTACAATGTTTAAAAAATCGTAGTAAAATTTCAAAATTTTTCATGTTACATGTCCAAGATTCAAATGTTTATTTTGAATGTTAATTTCTTAGGAAGAAATAAAATGTTATCAACTTTATAAGAAATAAATAAAAAATATTTACTTTATATAAAAAATCCTCTGTTAAACGTAATTTTTCCATTTTTTTTTATGATCAAGTAAAGAATGTAAAGATAATTTATCAAATAGTCTTTTACTTAAATTCATAAATTTCCAAAAATTAAGGGTTTTTTACTAATTGAATATGAACTAAACATATTCTCAGAATTCTAACCAAATCATGCTTACTTAAATGCTTAGAAATTGTAAAAGCAAAAAGTTAGGCAATTTGTTAAAATAATCATAAAAACATTTTTAATGTTTTTAAATAATCACCTATTTTCTAGTATATAGATTTTATTTTTTCTATATAGTAGCTATATATTGTTATTTTTCTTTCCTTTTTAAGTAAACATTTAAATTATAATTTTGAATTATGTTTGGCATTCTGTTCAAAAAAATTAATTTAAATGACAATTTATACAAGCATCTCTTACTCTTTCGCATTCCCACTATTTCTTCTTTTTGATGACTCATAAAATTAAATTTAAAAAAAATTTTTTTTGTTTTCTTCTCTCCTAATTTTTATTAAAATTTATCTTTTTTTTTGTTTAAAAAGCATTTTATTTTTTTTCTTTTAAGGAAATTTTAAAAAGATATTTAATTGGGTAATATTTTTTTTTGTTGACTAAACAATGTCTAAGCGCAATTCTTCTGAATTCTCTCCATTAAATTTTGCAGCAAATATGACAAACAACGAAAAACGCAGCAAAATTGTTGAACAAATTAATTCTTTAAATTTTGACAAAATTTGAACTATACTTAATCATCCTAGTTAATTAAAATGGTCGGTATAGAGTATATTTATTTAAATAATAAATCGATTATATATAAATTTTTGTTTTTATTTAATTTATTATGACTTTAATTGTTTTTATGCTGTTTTTTATTTTGATTATTTTTATTGTGCTTCACTACGACATTGTTGTCGGATTAAGTGGCACGCCCTTTCGATGACATTTTTTTATGTTAATAAATAAATAAATAAACATACATTTAAAGTACTTTTCTAATTTGGTTGACTATTGGATTGGGGAGCTGCCTAATCTAAACCCTCAATTACGGATCACCTCAATTTTACATATTTCTTTCTGCTCTATGTGTGTATGAAACTCGATTGTATAAGTATGAACTCAAATTACTGCTTTTTATTAATCTCAACATAGTAACACCTCGATTTAACGAACACTTGATATAACAAACTTTCCCTTAGCTTCCTTCAAGTTCGTTATATTGAGAGTTGATTGCAATTAATATTTAATTTTAAATAAAAGAACAAGAGAGACGAATACAAAATAAATGGCATAGGGCTCAGAATTATCAAAACGGAGTTTTATAAAATAAATAGAGAAACCCCATCGAAAGACTCAGGTTATTTTTATTGTTTTTCCAGAAGTACATATAACGATCTTGTTATTAGGTTCGGACATAATTTATGGCTATTTTTTAGATTAAAATTACCAATCGTATAAGTTACATCACGGCTATATTAACCATATATTTTATGTGATCTACGTTGATTTTGGGCTACTATAGTCACAATTGATTCCCAAACTCAGACTTATGAGCCATATCCAATTTTGTTAGCCGTAGGGTACCTTAGTAACGTATCATGGGTTATCTAAAAGTTAGATACAAGCAGTGTTTGGAATATCAAAATTTGCTCGCACTCGTACTTTAAAATTTTTTACGAGCTTCGGAACACTAGATACGACTGTAATATTTATTTTCAGATAAAATGTTTGATGTTTATTTGAATGAAAAGCCATTACCTCTGACTGGAGTAAAGCTAAAAAGAATTGCAAAATACTATAAATTAAATAAAAGTAGTGAAAGTAAAATACTCGAACAGTATCTTCTTAATTACGATTCAAATAAATTCCATATTGAAAAGAATATGCCCAACAAATTTAGAAAAATAAGAAAGATGAAAAATACAAGAGTTATAGCTATTGAAATTAATTATAATTATTTGGAAGATATTAAATTATGTAAATTAACACATAAAATTGATATTGAAGAAGAAAAGTTTATTAAAATGATTGAAGAAGATGATGATAAAGATTTTGAAATTAAATTGAAAGAAATTGAAAAAACCAATGATAGCTAATTAGAAAATTATTTAATTAGTTGAATCCTATTGTAATCTATAATTTTAAGTATTCAATTACTGATAGGATATTAACCGAACCGAATAACCGGAGCAAAACTTTCGGTTAAACGAAACCGAAACCGAAAACCCTAACCGAACTACCCAAATCCTCAGCTATGCTGGATACTCCAGCAATTTCATAATATCCCCTTTGATCCCCGAATTTCTTCGGATTATCCCTAACCCACCAGATCCCTAGAAATTTTTTAAAATTATCTTTCGTTTCTCCCTTCTTTTATTGTAAACTTCCAATTCCCCCAACAAGGTTCATTCGTAATTAGTTGTCTATATTATTTAAAAGAAAAGTAAAAGTATTTTATTTTGTTTTTTTCTACTGATATGCGAATTCTTTTAAATCCTGTTATAATTTAAATAGTATTATAAATTCAAAGCATATCCTAATTATGTATATCTTTATTTGGGAGACATAATTCTAAAAATAAATTTTATGATCACAAAAGTATTTCTAAAAATTGTATGCATTTACTAATTTATAAAACAAAAAAAATATAATTTTTACTTTCCACCAACTTTAAATCAGAAATAAAAATTTTAAAATCTATAAAATATTAAAGAATATCAATGAGAAAAAAGGATATCATACATAAAATAATACACATATAATATGCAGAAGCAATAAATTGAGATATAAATATAGCTTAAAAGATTATCACAAAAACATCACAGGGCAAAGAAAAAACATGGCTAGAAAGGGGTTTAGAAAAATAAGACTTGAAATTTTTTGTTATATTTATTTCGAGACAATCAAATGGCCTTGTGGAGTAATTCGAATAGCGGATGTCAGAAGGAAAGCTTAAAAAGAAAAAATTAAATATTGTTGGGAACGAAAAAGTTCTTACCAATAAATGGAAAACAAGCTGTGAGAATGAAAGCCCAATTATATCCAATTGAATGCAGAAAGTACTCACTTCCAATAGCAAGTACAATGCCGCTGAGAGTCTAAAAGGAGGATTGAAATTTTGTAAATTAAAATTTAAAGAAAATTAAATTCACCGTCGAAAGAATTAAAAACCCATAATTAATAATTTTATGTTGGGAACCAAAACAACGAACGATTGCTGTGATAAAAAGGGCATGAGTTGCTGCCAAACAAACAAACATTAAAATTAACTAAAAATAAAATATATTTGATAATTCTGTTATAAGTAGGGTTGTCAGTTATTGGAAAATCTTTGGATATCCGAATCAAAACCGTTCTCAAACACTTTTTAAAGATGTTTTGGTTGGTCATTGGGGGGGGGGGGAGGGGCTGATGCTGAGAGGGCTGATATCCTCAATATAAAATACTCCCCAAAATACAATTGCAACTCCAAGTGTGAATCTTATAGTTAGGTTTAGAGTTTTCGAATCGGTCGACGTTCGAGTTATTTTTTCGGGCCTTATTTTTATTAGGCCGGCCCGACCGAGTCCTTTTCGAGCCAAAATTCAATGCCCGATTCGATCTTTCTGACCGGGTCGGATCGGGCCCCCAGCCCGACTTATAGTTATCCTCATTAAAGGAACAATTTTTTCTAATTATTTACCCATAAAAGATAAACATAACGCCCTGCAAGTGCTGTAAGGGGCATTGTAAGTAAAAGAACTGTTGCCAACGATGTTGCCATACAAAGGGATGTCTTGAAAATTAAAATTTAAAAAGAGGGTAAATTTAATAAAAGACCTGAAAACTTGTTCGGTCAGTAAGTAATCCCCAACCAACCCTTGCTATGGCATTTGCAATGGAACCGAGACTAAAAGCCATTGCTAAGAAAAAGTCATCGTCAATAAAAGTTTCGCCGAATGTCTGTAATTTTTGAATTAGTTTTAGTAAAGGGTACGAGTCTTTGAAATTCATGAGATGGAAATTCGGATACAATTGTCTAATGTAGAGACATAGATACATTTTTTATTCAGAAATTATGAGGGTATTCTCAAGAATTCCAAAATAAATTTTTTCAAAAGATAAGTCTCTTTTAATCGCTGAATTAATTCCAAAAATTTAATTTTTACTTTGTATAGATTATAAAAGAAATTTCCATAAAAAGAACAACAAAAAAGAGAAATAAAAAGAAAAACAAATGTTGAGGATTGTAGCATTTGATAAGGATCAAAAGAAATGGGAAGACCCTGAAAATTAAGACAAATATATTAAATTAATTAAAAACAGTTTTTACTTGTTTTTCAATTTCTAATTCTTCGGAATCAGCTGATTCATTGGGAGGTGTAGGAAACGAATTTGTTAAGTTTCCCTCCTCTTTAAGAGAATGTTCAAGCTCCTATGTAATAAAATTAAGATAATTAAAAAAAATTTACATTATTCTTATATTCATTCAACTTAGGTTACCAAGTGCCATCACCCAGAGGACGGGCCGAAAGTAGAGGGCTTATATCCCGAGGACCCCACTGAGTCTATTAAAACGGAATTGACTATTTGGTAGTGCTACTCGAAAAAACAATTAAAGATTTGATTTGGGAAGTGGGAGCCTTTAAGAAATGGGGGCCATTAAAATGAAAATAATTTTTAATTAAAAAATATTTTTCTATAATTCCTTTAAAAATTAAAAAGTACCGTTAATTTATCTGGGACAATATTTTTTTGCTCATCAGAGTCATCTGCTGTTAATCTTCAAAAAATAAAAATAATTTTCAAAACATAATTAATCACTTTGAATACTGATACCGTCCAAATTGTTCTACTCGAGTCAATCCCAGCTTTGCCTGTGCCCAGCCACTTGAAAGAAGTGGAGGGCCTTTAAAAATGATAATAATAATTTTTAATCAAAAAAGATTTTTTCTAGAATTTCTTTAAAAATATTTTTACACAATAAATCACTTTAAAAATCCATTATAAATTGACCATTTGATGCTAGCCAATGTGATCGGCGTTTTGAAAGCCAAGCCATGTCAATTAAGGAAGTACAATCATGAACGAGAAAACGGCGAGCAAACTTAATAAAATTGACATTAATTTATGGTAAGGCTTAATATGTACATATGTAGAGATGACACATTTTTATAAAAATAATTTAAATTGTTTTAAAAATTAGAGGATATTGCTCAGACAGCTCTCACGCCTAGCAACAGGCCAAAATTTAAAGAACCGTAAATAAATTGAGTGAATCTAGTGTTGAAGAGTTCTGCTACTAGAGCGAAAATTATTTTAATAATTTAAATAATAATAGAGCCTAATGATTTATGAAATATTTTCCTATAATGTGTCACTACAATTATACTAATTACTTCTGTTGGTGGATCACAAATAAAAACAAGCCCAATACATTGCATTATAAAAAAGACAATACTTAAAGTTGTAAAAATTCCTGGAACTCTGCTCCTGTATTTCGGGAAAAAATTAACATAGTCAAATTTAAATATTTACAAAAGTTCAGGATCATTAAAATATCCATCACTTGTTGGGGCGACATTGTGTGGATTTATAATTCTTGTCTTTAAATTAATTAAAAGTTTCAAACAAAATTTTTGCTTCGACCTGAATCGGAGCAAAAATGGAAGAGGAAATCCCAAAACCGGCCGCAACAATACCAGAACCAAGCCCAACCATTTTAGGCGCCCAATTTATAACACAAGAAACAGCAACTACATACTTTAAATATTTGAATATATTAAATTAATTTTAATTTATCTACAGCAATTCCTTGGCCTAAACCAAACATCAAACCATAAGTGAGTAGAAAAGCATAGTAGGAATGTTGAATGGCCCATCCAGATAAAAATACACTTGCACTGAAAAGACAAAAGGAATTTTTAAATTATTCTAAGTGATACACTCTGTCACAAAAGTATAAGCACACCTAAAATTTTTGTGAAAATGCTATCTTGTAGCAAATTTAAAGGGCTTTCGAATGAGCTCAAATTGAAAATTTAAAACAAACCATAAGGGGTCGAAAAATTTTTTTGAAGTTGAAAAACCCTGTTTTACGTTGATTTTCAGGGTATCGAGATCTCGACACTGGAATGAGATATGGGCCTAATTCTTTTTTTATTTTTTATAATATCGGTAGACATGTTTACTGTATTTTTTGTAAAATTTTACAATAAGTAGAAATTAAATTTTTACGGGGGTGCTTATACTTTTGTGACACATGATTTTCGAGAAAATTCGATTTTAAAATTTTTAAATCGATAAAATTTTCTGAAACTTTATTTTTAGGTATGTTTTGGATCCCTGCTAATGTAGGAAAAAAATAAAACAAATAATGTGAAGGGATCATGTGTTTTCACAAAAATTTTAGGGGTGCTTATACTTTTGTGACAGAGTGTATTCCCAATGAAAGAAGTCTAAAAATATGAAAGTCGAAAATCAAGATTATTTAAAATAAATAAAAGGATATTAAACTAGGGATGGGCCGGGTTGAGAAAAAAGTCGGGCCAGAGTAGTTAAAATTTGAACATAGCCAGATTTTTTGAAGCTGTTGGGGGATATACGATATTTAGGGGGTTAATATGTATCCTCCAAATATACCGATATGATTATAATTCTCCGATATCTTTCCAAATCCCCGATATATCCCAAATCGGCTGATATATTCAAGAGAAAGAAGATAACGTTATGTTTGTATAGCGCTCAGAGGTAGGATTTCATGCACTTAGGCTTTGAAACTAATATATTAATTTACCACATTGTATAACAACCAATTCCAGCAGCTATTCTAGGGCCAAACCTTCTAGCCAAAAATCCGCCAATAATCATTGCAAAAGGAAAACAACCTTTTTAACAAAATATCAATTTAAATTAAAAATTAATTTACCCTGAAATGTGGGTATCCAAATTAAATGTTCAATTTTAACACTTTTATCAGTAAAGTTATTCATATAAGAAGCCATATAAGGTAACATATTACCTTTAAAATTAAATTTTATTTTTTTTCTAATCGATCTTTTCTTTCCAAAATTTTTAAATAAAAATTCTATTTTTATTTTCCAAAAATTAACCAAAAGTGTGATAAGTGCCAATAGTTAAATGTATCATTACAGCACCAAAAATAACTAAAGAAATTCGAGTACGAGATCTAAGTCTAGTAAGTAATTTTGCCATGGGATCTGTTGAAGAAGAGGGAGAGGAGGATGATTTATTATAGGTAAAAGAACCACAAGTATTCGACATTATTTAATAATTATTTTTTAACAAAAAATTTTATTTTATTTAAATTAAATTATGTAAATACCCTAACTAAAATAAAATTTATTTTTAGAATTATGTGTAATTTGAGGAAATATTTGTATACAATATTATATTACTAATTGTTATTTTAAAGAAACGTGGAGGAAAAAAAATAAATAGAATATTCCAATAAAAAGGAACTAGTCTAAAATAAAAGAAATAGTAATTGTTATTTTAACGTAAATAAATTAATAAAATAATTAAAAATACAAGTCAGATAAATTGATTTGCTCTGTCGGAAAAATAAAATAAAAGATTTTGAAGGGCAATTTATTTCATTTTCCCGACAAAGCAATTATCCGACAAATTGCGAAAGACCTAGTAATGAGCGTTTTATTTGTCTGTCTAATTAAGAAATATTTTTAAGCGAGGATTAATTATAATTTAATTATCATAAGTAATTTTTTAAAATTTCTTTTCAAATTTTTAGCTGAAATTTTATTATTAAATTTTTTTGATAAAATGGAGAATCTTAATTTTTAAAAAATAGCAAATAAAAAATTAAAATTTTTAAAATTAATTTTTCTTTTAATTTCCTCTAGCATTTTAAGTAAAATTAGGAAGGAAGAAATAGACGGAAATGGCAAAAATAAACATTTAAAAAAAGGAAATCTGACCACTCCGATGCAGAAAAAATATTAAAAGGAAAACTAATCTGGGACTAAAATAGAGAAGGGGAGAGGCAAAGGGGGGTAGGGGGGCTGTAAAAAATTAATTTAAATAATTCAAAATGAAATAATTTTATAAATTTTCTTTTTTAATAAATAAAAAGAAAATTTGGAAGAATAAAATTAAACAAAAAAAATTATTTTTTAAAAATTTGCGAACAAAGATCACAAAAGAACTATTTTAATAATAATTTTTGTGTTGTCCAAATACTGGTTTCAGTAAAATAATAATTTTATATTTTCCTTTAAAAATATACAAAGAAGTGTGAAAGTAAATAAAAGAATTATTAGATTGATTGAGTAAAAGCGAAACAATTAAATAAAAATTTTGTGAAAAATTTGCGGACAAAAATGAAGAGAAATAAAAGGAAGAAAGTTATTTTTGTTGTAATTTCAGTAATTATATTTAAAGTGAGATGATTATTAGGAATATAGGCCCTATCCCGAAAGAAGGGTCGAATCGTTTTTTTTCATTACTTTTTATTAGTTTATAAAAATGGTCAATTTTCCTTAGAATTGATGTATGTTGATGTTTGCCTTAAGGAAAAATGGAGAAGGACAGACAATGAAAGAAGAACACAGACAACATAACAAGGACGGACCAAACACAGACGGACACATGTCCGACCGTTCGTGTCCGTCCTTATTTTGTCTGTCCGTGTTCGTCCGTGTTTTGTCTGTCCGAGTTCGTCCGTGTTTTGTCTGTCCGAGTTTGTCCGTGTCTGTCCGAGTTCGTCCGTGTTTTGTCTGTCTGGGTCCGTCCGTGTCCGTCTATGTTTTGTCTGTCCGGGTCCGTCTGTATTTTGTCTGTTCGTGTTCGTCTGTGTTTTGTCCGTCTTGATCCGTCCGTGTTTTGTGTCTCCGAGTCCGCCCAGCAAACAAAAACAAGGAAAAATATAAAAAATTAACCTCTGTCACCATTTTTCCTTAAGGCAAACATCAACATACATCAATTCTAAGGAAAAATGACCATTTTTATAAACTAATAAAAAGTAATGAAAAAAAAACGATTCGACCCTTCTTTCGGGATAGGGTCGGAATATATGTAAATAAATGGCATTATTAGAGATAAATGACAGTGATCATAATTTAGAGGGAGATCACTTCCCCTCTTTTCTTATTTAGGGACTACACTAAACCAGTCACTATCAATCTCTGACAATAATCATTGAATCCGAGTTTTTCTACAAATGTTTACGGAGGTTCTTAACACTAAAAAAACTCTTAAACTAAAAAATATTAATTGTTGTGTTAACAAAAAAAAATAAATATTCTGTAAAATTTTTACAGGTTTTCGAGCAGAATTTTAAAGTTTAGAATGTTTTTATAATAAATGCAGAAATTTGTTGGTAAATAAAACAGAAAGGTTATTTATATTAGAAAATTAATTTGAGAATTAAGAATATTAATTAATTTTAAAGAAAACTTTTGTTCCTGTTTATGACATCCCCCAACCTAAATGACAAAAACATTAAATAAATTTATTAATAATTATAAAATATTTTTTTAATGTAAAAGACATGTATTTATTAATTCGCCAAATTTAATTTTATTTTTATCAAAATTCTTTTTAAAACTTGATAATAAATAAAAAAGAAGAGAATATTTTAAAAATTGTATTTTAAAAATTGAAAAAAAATAAATTTTTTTGTTAATGGCTAAATTTAATAAAACTTAATGGAAGACGTGTATATAAAGAAAATAAAATGTTTGGGCAATGCTTTGGCTAAAAACAATCAATATACACTATGCGTAAATACTAGTAGTAAACTATAGAATTAGTGGTAAATGTTTGTATAAATATGTATATAAAAATATCAGGTAATTGAAATTTTTTAGCTTTTACTTATTTAAAAATTATTTTTGGGACAAGCTGAAAGAATATGTAAATCCATATTTAATGTGGTTAGAAAAGAGAGACGATTAAAAACGATGTTTTTACGTCAAGAGAGAGGATCGTTTAATTTAGTACTTCAAAAGGCCTGTAAGATAATTTTAGAATAAACCAGAGTTTCGATATCTGCGGATTTTCCTCGTTTCTTGTTTGGGGCGATGAGGATTATTTTTAAAAATGCGGATTTGCGGATTTTTGTGATCTTTTGAAGATTATGAGGAGAGAGAAGATTATTATCCTCCCAGAGTCCGGATTCCCGAAATCGAGAATTTATTTTTATGTCGATCGAACTCTACCTCTGTTCTTGTACATAAAAATTCTAGTTCTTAAGTTTAAGAAATTATGTAGGTGTTAAACAGAGAAATCGAGGTGTAAAATTTTTAATTCAAAAATTTTTTATCAACTAAAAAAGGAAAATAATTTTAAATGCAAACATCACGAAGAAATTAATTAAATAATTAAAATAATATTTACAAAAGGATATGAATTTTACATAAATACAAAAAAGGGATATGTTTTGGCAATCAACAAAAATTGAGATTTTCATTAACAAAAAAATTAAAAAAATAAAAATTAAAGAAAAGCATCAAATTGGCTATTTGTATTGGTTGAACAAATAGAACTTCTTTTAATTCCCGTAACTTCATTTGCACTAGAAGTTTTCCTTCTCAAATTATTTGATAATTCTCCATTACAACAATCATTTTTCTTTAATATTTGTTTTTCTATTTGGTTATTTCCTGTTAATCTTCCATTAACTGAATTACTTAGAGGGCGACAACTATCAACAGAATTGTTGTGAAAAGCTAAATGGTGACCAGAAAGGGAGGCTGGAATTGTTTCCATTGAATTTGTTGTTTCTGTCATTAGAGAGTCAGCTGAAAAAAAAAGAATTTTTGTTTTTAGATGAGTGATAATTCTTTAAGGGAATTTTTTTGAGTGAAAAGGGTAATTTGAGAATCTAAGATGTTTCAAATTATTAACTTTACTTAACCATGGGGTAATAAAAAAATCCCACCTTAGGTGGTGCAAACTTTTGGTTAAATTTTTACCCGCGTCTTCGACCTTGTATTTAATCAGAGGGTGGGCACTTCGATAATTCTTGAAATTCTTATTCCCTATTTAGTTCTCTATCATTTAAGCTTTATTTGATCTCATTATCTCTAATCTGGATAAAGTTATGCCATAAATTATATGCCCCATGACTTTTTGGACACCCTGTATATCAGGGATGGGCGATTTCGCATTTTCGCATTTCGCATCTTTCGCATTTTTCGCATTTTTTGGCGCGAAAAGTTTCGCATTCCGCATTTCGCTTTTTGGTCCAAATGCGAAATTTGTTTCGCTTTTTCTTAAAGTATTTTTTTTATTTTTAAGAAATTTTTTAAAATTATAATGTCTTTAATATGGAAGTATTTCTCACTTTCTGGAAGAGTAGCGTTCTGCAAAAGTTGTAGTTTTTCAAAAAACTACCCGCCACGTGCGCCAACAACATTTTTAATCTCACATTTACGTGGCAGTCATCCAGAATTGTAGGTTTTCCTGGTTTTCCTGGGTTAATTTTCTCCCAAAGATTTCTCTTTTCTAGCATAATTGCCACTTGAGCCTTAAGAAAATTCTAAAATTTTCGCCTGCGGCGCTGGAAATAGAAGAATTCTGGCTTTTTTGGCTTACCAACATTCTCAAAATTTTCGCCAGAGGCGCTGAAAATGGGAGAATATCCCAATGAATCTCATGATATCCGTCCAAGTAAAATTACAAAGAAACAAGCTTTGATTATTGAGACCCAGCTCGGTCAGGAGGATATCGGTAGATTTAGAGGGATATCGAAAGATTTAAAGGGAGTAAGGCATATGGTGGATTTTGAGAGATATCAAGGGAGTAAGGCATATGGTGGATTTTGAGAGATATCAAGAGATTTTGGGGATTAAGACGGATATTGTGAGATATATGGGATGGATATCAGAGGATTTGGGAGCATCAAGAGGGATATCGGGATATATATGTGCATATAGAAGGACGGTGTGGGATTAAGGAGGATATAGGTTAAGATAGATTTCGTATACTTTAGATGCTCTAATATCCCCGATATGCCAGCAAAAATCTCCCGATATCCAACATAATCCTACTTAATACCCCAAAATCCCTTGGTATTACACTAATACCCAAATCACCAATATCTGTTCAAGAAAATGCAGAAATGCTTTTATTTTTGCATCATAATCTCGTAATTTATAATTTTGAATATGAATAAAATTTTTTGAATTTTAAATAATTTCGCATTTTCGCATTTCGCATCTTTCGCATTTTTTGGCGCGAAAAGTTTCGCATTCCGCATTTCGCATTTTATTTTTTTAAAAAAAGTTTCGCATTTCGCATTTCGCTTTTTATTTTTTGATTTCGCCCATCCCTGCTGTATATCCACTCAAGGAAATGGAAAAAGAATAAGACTTTACTCGTTGTTTTACTTTATTTAAGTCGGATGACTTTATCTCTAAATTGTATACACCTTCTTAAATAAAATCCTTGGGGTCTTCAACATAAGAGGATTTTTAGTTTTGTTTTTTCAATTTTTGAAAAATTTGAGAAATTTTAAATCTTAATTCTTATAAACATTTTTCTTCCAACTATTCACATCCTTGTTTTTTAAGCGGACCATAGTTTTTTTCCAAAAATTAATTCTTACATTCAAGTTTTTTCAACGGTCCTTTCTCTTTTGTTTGTTTAACTAATTTATCGCGAAGAAAACGTCTAGTAAAGGAAATAGGAAAATTAGAGAAATGTTGTTGTAATTTTTGTTTGTCAATTTCGTGTTCTGATGAATTTCGGCTACTTAATTTTGAAGAAGGAGAACAACGACCTCCACCCTCTTCTACATCCTTTGTTGTTATTGAAGCTGCTCGACTTTTTTTGCCAGAATTTTTTGGTTCGCTTACAACAACCAAAAGTTTTTGGTGTTTCCCTTCCGATTGACTTCCATTTCTTGGTGAATTATCTCTGCTCGTTAAAACAACCATTTGTGAGGGAGTAGCACTTGAATTAGGCATTCTCATCTGTCTGCCATAGTTTTTAAGTCCTCCTGTTGAAGGAGGTACTTCACTAAAAATAGTTGGGCATACTCGATGTAAAAGTAGACGAACACGACTTTAAAAATAAATTTTTATAATTTAATATATAAATTTGACATCATTTTTAGATACATCCTATGGGCTGGAAAAGCCGTGCATTACAACAAAGGTATGGCTTGGTCTAAAAAATCGGTTGGCCACTCTAACCAGTGTCCGACTAAATTAAAAAACATATCCTGAATTAAGGAGTACCTAATTTTGGGAGTATCTAAAAACGAGATTTGACTAAAAATTATTAATATTCACTTAATCATTGTCTTTCTAAAACGATTGCTGAAGGTTATATAAACAAAAAATGATAGTGAAGCATTGCAAAGACATAAGAAATAGGAAATAGTCTGCAAAGTACAAACATGCTCCTTTTTGTGTACATTTGGTCCGAACCTTCAAAAAAATTTTTTTAATAGGAAAACTTTTGTCTAAAAATTCTCTTAATAATTTTTATTAATTTTCTTACATTGAGACGTAGATGAGAACGGACATTGATGGTGTTTCTGTGACCAACTTAAAAATATTTTTTATTAGAAAGTGATAACAAATATTCATTATTCAGACATCCGGGACCGAAAAAGTCCGAGTATCCGAAATTTTCAGTTTGGATATTCCAGAGACCGCCAAACCTAGTACCCATGAAAGAAATTAATCTTTACCTGAATAAAGCAAGTAATTAATGTAATTCTTGTTACTCCTCTCTTTTCTGCCGAAAAATGGTTATTGTTGTTGTTGTTCCCATTACTACTTCCATTTTCTCTACTTTTCCGTTCATTATATGCAGCATTAGTTAAAAGGTTAGTTGTTGGTCCTGTTTGGTTTGGAGGTTTTTTAGTTATATCATTGGTTTTTAGATGTCTCCATCTACGATTAGGCCAAATCCACAATCTCCAAACTATCATTATTGTCATAAAAACCTTTTAAATGGTTGATAAAAATAATAATTTTTTAAAACTTTTTAGCTTACAAGTAAAGATAACGGCAAAAGAATGGACAGAAACATATCCGCAATTGTGTGAATTTTTTCAAATAAAATCATAATTGAGCCTTTAAAATAACAAAATATGTATATTATTCGAAAATAAAGTTAATAATAATAGATAAGTAAGTAGAGATCACAAATGCTTATATTCAGAAATACTTGATTAGTGATATATATCAAGTATTTCTGAACAAAATCATCACGATCTTCTCCCATTTCATATTTCATGAGAAATTTTTTTGACGAACCGTCGGGTACTAATAGTTGGGCCAATAAGCCTATATGGCATGGCTCCCAAAAATTAGGAAATAAGAATGCCAAACTTTTCCTTAATAGGAGGAAGTAAGAAAAGGGGAATGATAAAATGATCGAGGAAGGAGTTAAAGAATCTATGTGGTTATTATTCAACGATTAGAGAGATTAGAGATGTGTCTAAAAATTAATAATTTACTTTGAGAGGTTATAATCTTAACAACTTTTCGATCACATTTGTTGACCAACGAAACATCACGATTTAGAGGATAAATTGAAGCCAATATAAGACTTAAAATTGAAAAATAATGAACATAGTTTGAAAACTTTAATTTACCCAGTAAGTAAGATAATAAAATAGGAACGCCAAACAGTCTGTTTAGTACATAAAAGTTTTGATTTTGAGGGGAAGAATATATGAATATAACATTCTGCTGTCATTAAAACTGTTAGCCACATTGCACAAAATCCAAAAACATTGGTTAAATAAGCCTTTAAAATTTATATTAAAATTCTGCGAATTAAAAGAACAGTTATTTGGACAAATGAAACTGAGAGAACCGCGAATATTGCAAAAGAATTTTTAATCTTGGATGGCATTCTCTTAGCTAAATTTTGGAATATAATCAAAAAAATAAATTAATAATTATTTTTGAGAATTAAAAAAAAATATTTTCTAAAAGATATTTAACAGAAATTTAAATTATTTAACCTGATAAGGCCAAAAACGCCAATAAAGTTGGTCAGTTCGATCCCCAATATCCCAAAGACGGATAACCCGAAGAGCTTGAGGAAGCATAACCATCATCATACAAGTATTCATTAACTAAAATAAATTAGTGTATTCTAAAAAATCTTTACTATTTCTTTACCAATTTAGTGCAAAGCATTCTAATAGCAATAAAAAACCGAATATGGTCAGAATTGTAAATTAACAAATTTAGACAATTCCCAATTAAAGCAAAACAAAAAACTACTAGAAACCCATAACCCATAAGTGCATTCCACAAAGGTTTTTCATCACAACGCTCCTAAGAAAATTATTTTATTAAATTATATACTTAAATATCAATTAATTTTTCAATCTATCTCCGATAAGGTAAATTTAATTGAGGGGGGACAGTCGGTTGAGTAAATATGGAAACATTTAAAAAAACAAATATTTTAATATTAAATAGATTATTGGGGATATTATTGAGGAATTGAAACTATTTTTGATTTATAAATAAAGGAAAATTGGTTAAGCTAATAAAATTAATTCTAATATTTTTAAATTTATTTTAAAATTTTTTTCAAAATTAAAATAATTAATTTATAAATATTTATATAAAAGGATAAATAAATATTTTTTTTAATTTCCAAATTCAAAATTATATTTTAAAAAACCAACAATAATATCAGCACAAAACAACCCTTCAGTTATATTTTTTGTATTAAAAATTGGAGGAGATTCTGTTGCAATTGTTTGTGGATGAAATACATTTCCCATTTCTTTTCTTATTTTTTCAAGTAAATGCTCCAATTCTGTTCTGTTAACGCCATTTAATGACTAAATAAATTTAAATTTTAAAAATTTATTTTTTATATTTTTTAAATTTAGGTATATTATAATAAAATTACAATTGTCGTTTGAATGGTTTTTGATTAAAATTTGTTAAAATATTTTTTATTTATTATTTTGACAAATTCATTTCTTTGCCCAAATATTTATTGTAACAATTAAAAAATTTTTAAAGTTCATATCGATAAAATTTAAATAAAAATAGGTATTTCTAATATACTTAAAAGCTAAACAAACCAATTTAAAATCAGAAGGGTCTTCTATCCAATCTTCCATTTTTTAATTTAAATATTTAAATATTTTAAATATCTAAAATAAAAATTAAATTATAATTAGTCATTTTAAACAGTTTATGCCATAAAATAATAAATTTAACAAAAAACATAAAGTCAAATTATGCTAAATAAATATTGGATTTAACGAGAGGAATATGTTTTTCAATGAAAATATATTTTTCAAAACTTGTACATAAATGTGAAATTGTAAAAAAATAAAATAAAAGTTTTCTCACGATTTGAAAATAATATTGGGTGAAGAATTTAGAAAAGAAAAATTGGTATTAATTAAAAATTACGAATTAATTCAAGTTTATAAGAAAATAAAAATTAAAAACCCTTTTCTATTATACAAAATTGTCCAAAAAATCAGGGATTTTGGTTTAATTCGATTGATATATTAAATGAAAATAAATTATTTTAAAAATATTTAAATATATTTTTGAATTAAATTTAAATAAAAAATATTGTAAAATAAATGTAGAAGTATTATAGTTAAATAGAGATTTTCGACATTTAAATTTCTGGTTTTTGAGGGTTTATTTTGATTTTCGATATTTTTGAACTTTTTCGGTTAAACAAGGAGCAATGTCAGCCGAGCTATAACTTCGATCGAAATTATCGAATCCGAAACGCCCTGGTTTGGTTCAGCTCGTCAAATTACATCGAATCATGGATTCGACAATTTCAAAGAATTTATAGACCGTAGTACATTTGGCCCGACAGTACATTGGGGTGTACCATTCGAAACAACTCTAAACCTAACTAAACTTTAATTAAGTTAATTAAATGTATTTTAATTAACATAAAATAACTTTAAAATTAAAATATTCTGATTTAAACAAAAAGAAATTATTTTAAATTAATTATTTAATTTTAAAATTCTTTTTAATGCTTGTGAATGAAAATTGAAAAAAAAAGTTTTGTTGACAATTTATTTAAATGCAGGTGGAAAAGCATAAAATAAAGGAAAGGAAAGACAAAAAATTATATTAAATAATAAAAAAAAATTTTTTTTTAAAGTTGAGTGGTTACATAACACGCAAATTAAATATTTTATTTTTACAATAATAAGATTTTATTTAATGAGAAAAGTGGGTGTGGGAGAAAATTATAAAATTTTTTTAATTAAATAGTTTTGGGTGTTTATATTAAAATAATTAGGTTATTTACAAATAAAAATAATGGAAAAATTGTTTTAAAGAATTATATAATTTTTAATAGAATTTTTAGAAATGCTATTTATATATTGTTAAGAAAATTTATTTTTAAATATACATATAGTTTAACTGGAGTTATAACCCGAATAACTGATGATGACTAGGGGTGTAAATTGCAGTTATTGTGTTTTGCGCTAATTTTTGGTAATGAGTTGATTTTGAAAGCTTTTGCTCTCATCCCCCGCACAAATTGAAAAAAAATTTAAATTTTTTCAGGTCGGAGATAATCCTTTATAATCATTCGGGAATGTGATTAGAATGCTTTTTGATAAAATATTTAGGCAGATATAGATAATTTTATAAAAGAAATCGACCAAATTTTCTTTAAAACATAATAGGTAAACAGAAAAATCTATAAAAATTTTTATATATTAAAAACGACTTGATAATAAAGAGAGTTTAGGAAATTTTAATAAAAAGCAAAAAACTCAATTTTATGGATTCTCAAGAATATTTTTCTGGCTTCACTATGGAAATAAAATTGTCTAAATTAAAATGTCTTTAATGAGAAATGAAATAAATATAGGGGTTAAATCCCCAAAACTTAAACGGAAAAAGGACCCTGAGAGCAAAACCAGATATTAAACAAAATTATTTAAATCCATAAAAAACCTATCTGTGTATTCTTATTAACTTACCAGGAAAATATCGAATACTTCGATATATATTGAAATTTCTTTAATTATTTAAAGGAACTAAAATAAAAATAATTTTAACGAAAATGAAAATTCTGAGCTATGAAATTTTTCATTAATAATTATTTTCTACAGTAAGATAAACTATTTGCAAAATACAAAATAAATCTGATGATGAAGGTAAAAAATAAAAGAATTTAAACAAAAAATATTATTAAGGTTAATAAGTAAATTATTAACACGCAAATGTGGCACGAAAAATGAGAAAATGAGAGTGTTTGTGTAGATAAATATTTATTTTATATTGTTTGGCTTTAAACGGTCTAATAAACACAATTAAAAGTTTAATGATGATAATAAAAAAAAATTTTAAAAAATGTTTGGGCGCGGATAGATATGAAAGTCCATTGTACTATGTATTTAGCAGGAATTCCATAAGTGATTTTAAAAATCGAACGGCAAAAGACGAAAGGCGAAACTCGCACACCCCTGGTATTTAGCAGGGGATTCCGATTGGAGTCGGGAATTCCGATCCAAAAAATAAACTTACAAAATCGGGAGCTTATTTCTATGTCAGCTGATTCCCTAGTATGTACATAGTATAGGCCGAAATGCTGCTTCCAAATTCGAAATTTCAAGTTCGAAGCACTGTTAGGATCCAAAAATATAAACTCCCGAAATCTGGAGCTTATTTCATGTCGGCTCACTCCGTATGTATGTATAGGCTGAGATGGTGCTTTGAAATTGGAAATTTTGAGTTTGGAGCAGGTTAGGACCAATCGGGAGCTTATTTCTATGTTTCTTTACATTAAAAAGGTCCCCTCTATTTTAAGATTTCCCAACCTTCTCTATTCTACATAAACAAAAAAGTCTGCGCCTAACCCACACAGATTTCTTAGAAAAGCACTTCATAAATTAGAATTTAAAAATATCTCCATTTAAGCATAAAAAATATTTATTAAATCTTTTCACATATCTAAATAACCTTTATTTTAATTTTCTAACTAAATCTTCATTAAATTACAGGTATAAAGGACAAGAAAAAAACCCTCATTATAAAATAAATAGTAAAAAAAGTTAATCCATTTTGCCTTATTTATTTATTTAATCCGAAATAAATTGGTTTGTATTATTGTTATAAAAACAAAAGTAATATTTTGATGAAAAAAAATATTTTTTTTCAAATTTTGCCCACGCAGTTTTTTCTGCTTAAATAATTAATTAGATGGATAAAAAGAAATTGGTGTTAAAAATTGAGGTTTACCAAAGGGCAAGAATTTTTGGGGGAAAAATGATAAATATTAAATATGCAACTGGAATTTAAAAAATATTTGGAACGGCATTCCAGTTGGATAAAATTGCAGAAGAAATAAAAATTTAAAATAACCCAGCACGGCTCAGTTTTTTTTCGAGATTTGGAACCGAGTTACAAAAAAACCGAATAAATATAATAACATTTAAATTTTCCTCTAAAACAGACTCCTTTGGAGCTGAAAAGTTGTTTTCTTATAATGAGGTGTGGTTTGTATCGAGCATACATATCTTGTAGTGAGGTCCAATTGAAATAACTCCTACAAAAACCGTTATTTTTCTAGACTTAAACTAGAAATCACAAATTATAATTAGCAACTATTATTTCCAATTTTTATATAAACTTTCTGATAAAAAATATTTATAATCACTTCCGGTATTCTTTTTTATGCTAAAATAAATTAAAATAAAATTTTCTTTTTGATTTTTTTGCTTAATATTAATCTTTTTCTTCGAAAAAAATTTTTTATACAATGTAAAAAAAGGAAGTAATAAGCTTAGATTTTTCTTTTAATTTTTTGCGCAGTTTTTTTGTTCATTTAAAAATTATAAACCAAATTTTTGGTTTAGTTTGAAAAATAAAAAAATGTGTGTAAAAATGCCATGGTATTAAAATTTTTACGCACGAAAGCGCAAGAAAGACGAACGAAATAAAAAATAACAATTAATTCTAATGCAAAAAAAAATTTTGTGAAATAAAAATGTAAAAAATTATTTTAAAAAATAGTTAAAGAAAAAAAGATTCTTGGAAATAAAATTTATTTGCATGTATTATTTTGTAAGTAAATGATTAAATAAAAGTTGTAAAAAAAATTTCTAAGTATTCACGAAAACAATACAAATTGGATGTTTGCTTTAGTGTACTTGGAACTTTTAAATGAGGGATTAAGAGAAAAAGCTATCTTTAACTTTTGAATATTCCATAAAGGACATAAAATATACCGCATTTTTTCGATTAATTCCACTCCCTCGAATAATTCCCCCTCACGATTAATTCCCCATGCCAGGGATGGGTTGAAATAATAATTTCCCACCCCCAAATACCCTACTGAACGTTCAAATGCCAAAACTCGAATAATTCCCCATCCCACGCATGGTAGAAATATTAATTCCCCAGGGGAATTAAAAAAAGATCAGATATATCTCAAGATTCATTTGTTATATCGGCAAAATCCCTAACCCTAAATAATCTCTTTAATTTGTTTACTCAAAAATATTTAAAATATTATTTAGTTTTAAAAAACGTTAGAACAATAATTTAGTATTCTTACGTAATATATCATTAAAATAAATAAAAAAAAGCGTAAAGTAAAGCTAAGTACTTTCATTTTAATTATTTTGTCTTATGACTCATAATTTTTAAAAAATTTAAAATATTTTAAAAAGCGTATATGTCATGCCATTATGAAAATTATTTTAAAATTTTATTTTGCTTTTTTATTTAGAGTAATAATTGGATAGAAAATATGTAAAAAATATGAAAAAAT